ATGCCTGGTTGTTAGTTAGTTAGTTAGTTAGTTAGTTAGTTAGTTAGTTAGTTAGTTAGTTAGTTAGTTAGTTAGTTAGTTAGTTAGTTAGTTAGTTAGTTAGTTAATTAGTTAGTAAGCAGGATTACAAGAAAATGATTAAATCAGTTTTATGTACCTATAAAATAAACTTTAATAAAAAAAAATTACATCAAAATTGTTGTGAAGTACCGTATTTGAGGAAATGTATTCTCTAACATTGTCTTGCTGTTCTTGTCCATCTTCCTCTCAGTTTGTCAAGGCACAGGAGGTCCGAACGAACAAACTGTGGACGCTTTCAATATCGACAGCTTCATCAACTGCACAATGATCCAGGGCAGTCTAGAATTCCTGGTGACTGGCATCAATGGGTAAACAAAACTCCTACTTGTCTTAAAGATTTTATTGTGTGTACTTTATGGATAATGTTTGCACCAGATATTTATTTTCTTTCTCCTTTTATGTTCAAAGTGATGAATATAAAGGCATCCCAGCCCTCGATCCAGAAAAACTGAAAATATTCAACACAGTGCGGGAGATTACAGGTGTGCATTGGAGTAGATTTTTACTTTCATTGTATTTATGCTATTTAAGTCTTATCACTGTGTTTATAATCTGTTTACGGCCTCTGAAACACAATGTCTTCATTTCAGGCCATCTCTGCATCCAGTCATGGCCTAAAAACATGTCTGACCTGTCGGTCTTCTCTAACCTCCAAACTATTCAAGGCAGATCACTTTACACGTGAGTAGAAGCTTTATTTGTCTCCTTGTTCTAGCATCGACTCAGGTCATGTTTTTGTCTCAGCAGACAATACCTTCTCTGTCATGACTCTCTGTGTCTTTTTGTGTGTTGTGTCTCTTTATCTCCGTCACTTTTACACCATGTAGAGGAGTGACGTTTCGAAGGTAAAGTACACAATTCACATGCGGCCTCATCATGTGTGACATTTTAGTATCAAATACTTGTTCTTGCTCTATTGTATTATTTTCACTCCTGGGCATGTTTGATTTGGTGATGGGCACAGCTCTTTACTCAATCCTCATGGTTTCTTTCAAATCCTGTAATGTTGGTTTCAAAATGTTCAGGAAGCAAGTGTTGGAATCTGAGTCTGGTCTTATTTAATAAAAGCAAAATCCCATTCCAATTTTGGTCTTAATTGTTAAATGTAATCACTGCTGACTACTTATTTAATATTGATATTCAATATTGTCACTAAAGGTGCAATTTTGAAGAAATAAAAATGTCAATTAAATTCAAATCATGTCAAAAAATAAATCCCAGCTGAAATTTTGATACCAAAACGCAAACACTCAAAGGTTAGGTGATCAAGCTTGATTAAACCAGTTTCTTTAATGTCGTTATATTATCCTGGAGACATTCGTCTGAACATCTGTAATGTTTAGATCTGAAGATGAACAACTGAATCTGAGCAACTTGAATTTAGCTTCATTAATGTTGGAAAATAAATAAATAACATTTACCATCAATATAAAACATTTTTAACTCTTGAAATGACCTTTGTAAAAAACTGAATGAATTCTAACATAATCACTCAGAATTTTTTTTACCCTCTCCTAGTGGCCCACATTGGTGCATCAGACTGAATTTTGACAGAACAACAGGGTTTTGATGAGGGGGTGGAAATCACCAGGGAGCTCGTCATTTAATCAGCAAAGTCGCCTAGTATATGTACAAATGCACAAATCTCAGCTTAACTCAGCCTCACTGCGACCTGAAATGTGGGCATTTTGGAAAATTTGGCAGGATACTGAAGTAAAAAACCTTGATGCTATAAATCCAGCGGTGGCTCTATTTAACTATTATAAATTCAGTTTCCTATAAAATTCAGAATTATAGAAACTACTAATTTCGTTTATCATTTATTTTCTGTTTCAGGGGCTACTCTCTTGTAGTGATGAGGAGCAACTCCTTGACCTCTCTGGGGTTACGCTCACTACGAAAAATAAACAGTGGCGACGTCTACATCACAGGAAACAAGAAACTCTGCTTCCCTGACACTATCAACTGGACACGCATCCTAAGCAGCAGCTCCCACCAGAGGCAAAACAAAATCAAGGGCAACCGATCCAAAAATCAGTGCGGTGAGTGAAATTTGGTCGTTTAAATCACTCTCCTCTCTCAGCGTTATTGTTAATGATGACACAGTTAATTTTGGTCCCCTGTGTCTGCAGTAAGTGAAGGTCAGGTGTGTGACCCCCTGTGCTCCTCTGATGGCTGCTGGGGTCCCGGGCCAAACCAGTGTCTGTCCTGTAAGAAATACAGCAGGGGAGGAACGTGCGTGCCGGACTGCATGTTCATATCAGGGTCAGTCTTTACCAGATAACTTATATTAAGAGTCATCATATCCACTCTGTTTGTCTTGTGTGAGTAATGTTTGCTGTGGTGTTGCCGTCCCAAGTCAATGTTATCTGTACTCTGGTGACACATTTTAAAGTGAATGACTCTTTGCCCTGAACACAGGGAGAGGCGAGAGTTTGCTTCTCGATCAGGAGAGTGTAAACCCTGTCACCCCGAGTGTAAGGTCCAGGAGCAGAAGGAGACCTGCACAGGCCCGGTATGCTTCTCTTTCTATAATAACAATAATAACAATAATAATAATAATAACGATAACAACAATAAAAATAATAATAATAATGAACAATGATAGTAATAATTCTTATAGCACTATTTTGAAGGTTAAATGCTTCACAAGAGGATAAAACAACAATAAAATGGAATTGAATTCAAATTCAAATATGGATGAAAGCTATTTTTTATTTGATCAGTGCCTTTAGTTAAACTATTTTACAAGGTCAAACAATTGTATTTTAATTGCACTTATTAAAAAAAATGTATATGCACATTTTAGCCTTTTTATTTTTTTTACTGCCTTTAATCTTGTGCCTTTTTTTACACCCACTAAAATCTCTTTTGCTTGAGATATGTTTAAACTCGGCTTGGTTGTGAAGCCTTAAATGTCATCAATAAAATCTTAAAAAACTTTAGAGTCAATGCAGCAAGCATAGTGGAAGTTGCATAAATCTAGCTTGGAAAAGACAAAGGCATGGACGACCCTGTGCATGTTCTCAAATGTTAAGAAGGATTTCAACTTTAGTTACTAACTGATGCCAGCCAAGGCTGCTTGTGCTTACAGTTGTAATTTTCACAAAACAAACAAGCTCTTCAAGTTCAAGAATGGTATAGTAATAACTTTGGGTGTGCTGCTGCCACCTACTGGCTTTACCTTAGACATGAATACACTACTTGAAGTTATCTTGAAAATGTTTATGCCTTTACAAGTCTTCATTTGGCCTGAACTGTTCCTTGTTCTCTCCAGGGGGCAGATCAGTGTGTTGCATGTGCCAGCTTGCAGGACGGCCCGCACTGCGTCTCCTCGTGTCCTGAGGGCGTGATGGGAGGGGAGGGGGTCATCTTTAAATATCCCAACAAGCAAGGCAGCTGTGAGCCATGCCACGTCAACTGTACCCAAGGGTAAGGAGTGAAGAGATGCCTGTGTGTATGGAGGTATAAGCCATGTTTTCCATCTTTAACTAGACTCTTTTTGCATTTAGGTGCTTCGGTCCACGAATTGCAGACTGTGGAGTGTCTTCGCGTTATATTTCTGGGTATTTCTTCTCGTTCACTTATATTTTAAATAAATTGTATATTTTGATTCAGAATAAAGTGCTGACAATGTGACATCTGTTCTTTTTCATCTCTGTCTCTAGACAAGCGACCACAGCCATTGTACTGGGAGTGATTGCCCTCATCTTCGCGTCATTCTCTATCTTTGTGCTGACTGTTCTGTACCGCCGAGGTATCGCCATTCGTCGCAAGCGAGCCATGAGGAGATACATGGAGAGTGGAGAGGTCAGTCAAAGTCTGTAGCCTGGGCGGCGTGATTCTTTTATTATGCATTCTTTGAGGATTGTTAATGGACGCTCTACTTTCCAACAGAGTTTCGAGCCCTTGGAGCCTGGAGAGAAAGGAGCTAAAGTCCATGTGCGGACCCTGAAGCCAACAGAGCTGCGTAAGATCAAGCTGCTGGGTAACGGAGTGTTCGGATCAGTCCATAAGGTACTTGTGGTTGCCACTGTTGCATGGACAATGTCTTTTTGCATATGTAAGATTTATCTAAGAAATGATGTATCTCTGTTTCCTGTGTAGGGTATTTGGATTCCTGAGGGGGATACAGTGAAGCTCCCTGTGGCCATTAAGACGATTCATGATCGCATGGGTCGACAGACCTTCTATGAGCTGACAGATGTAAGAAAACTTCATTTAAAGTAACACTTCAGCATGATCTCTCTTACTTTTCCAGTGCTGATATGTAGTATGATGAGTAATACTCCATAGTCACAAGTTATACGTAGACTCTCTACTACTTAGCTAAATTCCTGTTACGTGGCAATGTTGCGTCCTCATTGTCAAACTATGTGGCACTTAGTTGAGTCCCCTAAATACACCAGATGTTTTCATCAAGATCAATGAATTAATCCCTGAGATATGAAAATGTTGAAAAATGCTGAATCTCACAATGTTAAAGAAAGTGAAACAAATTCCCTGACCCACACCACATCCTTCCACCAAGTTTTATGGTCGTCCGTTCAGTAGTTTTGGTGTCATCCTGCTAGCTAACAAACAGATAAACAAACACGAACACATAACCTTCTTGGCAGAGGTAACTAAAGACTGTTTGAAATAAATTACTACACAACACAGGAACATTATACTTTTGGTGATTTTACAATTTTCAATTAAAATGTCGAAGCTCTTTTTTGTTGTAACTCTTGATCTTTAGAAATCTGTTGTTGTGAATCCAGTTGCTTTCCTCCTGGAAGGAACAAGCTCTAAACTCACAGAACTACTTTTCAAACAGACAGTCAGTTACTTCGAAGATTAACTTTTTGTGGACTACTGCTTAAATTTCACTGAAACACTAAATGACTAACAAGTTAACCCATATGGTCACTACAGCACATGTTGACGATGGGAAGCTTGAACCACATTAACGTTGTCAGGATCCTCGGTATCTGCCCTGGGGCCAGCCTACAACTCGTCAGCCAGCTCAGCAGCCAGGGCTCCCTGCTGGAGCACGTCAAGAACCGCAAGAACAACCTCAGCCCGCAGAGGCTGCTCAACTGGTGTGTTCAAATCGCAAAGGTAAAGGATCCACCTTTTTTTGTTTGTGTGTGTGTGAGGCTTAATTTCACATTGTGGGTCTACTCCACCGATCAGCCGGGAACTGAAAAACAATCTTGCTCTCATCAGGGTATGTATTACCTGGAGGAAAACAGGTTGGTCCACAGGAACCTCGCTGCCAGAAATGTGCTCCTGAAGAGCAATTTCACCATCCATATCTCCGACTACGGCATCGCAGACCTGCTGTATCCTGATGACAAGAAGTACTTTTACAATGAGGTCAAGGTCCGTGGTCTTGCAGAAAAGATAAATAACCATCTAATAAAAATACCATAGTTCATTAACACAGGGTTTGACATTCAAAGGCCATTTATTAGCTGTTTTTACTGAAGTTATCAATTGAGACATTTTCTATTTACACCATCAGACTCCAATCAAATGGATGGCCTTGGAGAGCATCTTGTTTCGCAGATACACACACCAGAGTGATGTCTGGAGTTATGGTGAGTTTTAATATGGCCCAGTTTGATTGATATTGAACATTTGTGACAGCAGTGGTGTGGATTTTGCTGCTGTACCAGTAGCCCTTTTTCATAGCACACTAAATCCTTGCCCTCATTAGGTGTCACAATATGGGAGATGATGTCTTATGGGGCAGAGCCGTACACAGCAATGCGTCCACAGGAAGTTCCAGATCTGCTGGAAAAGGGCGAGCGTCTCTCTCAGCCTCAGATTTGCACCATTGATGTCTACATGGTCATGGTCAAGTGTGAGTGTCTCACTTCTCTACTTTTTTTACATTAAGTCTGAACTGCAAAATAGCAGAAACGGTTTGTTTATACTTTATAGTCATACTAGCACTGGCTCAAGAGATGGATTAAAGTTAAATATCTTGACAAATATTGAAAATATTTCTTGTCCAACTTGTTTTGATTATATCTCTTAACTTTTAATTAAGTTTTAGATAGCTGCAAATGTAATAAAAATTCCATTAGCCTCAGCGGACCTTTGTATTTAGAGCCAATTAGCAAATGTTAGAACGCTAAAACAATAAAACAATATGGTAAACATGGTTAAAATTATATCTTGTTAGCACATTAACATGGTAACATTAGCAGTTTGCTAAAACTAAGCTGTTTCCAAGTTCAGTCCCACAATTAGCATTTCTGAAAAAAACCTGAAGGCTCATTCATATCAAACTACATTGTATTTAGTTTCTGATGCTCCTTAATGTGCATTAGTGTAAAAGTGTAACTCTTGTTCTCAATTTCTAGGTTGGATGATTGACGAGAATGTACGTCCAACCTTCAAAGAGCTGGCCAATGAATTTACCAGAATGGCCAGAGACCCGCCCCGCTACCTGGTGATCAAAGTAAGAATGACTGTGCAGGTTTAAGCTTCAGTAAAAGTGAACATGCAGAGCGCTGATCTGTGTCTCCCCTCTGTCCTCCAGGAGGAATGCAGTCAACAGGACTCGCCCCTGGATGAAGTTGCTCACTGGAGTGCAGACCTGGACGATCTGGATGATCTAGACATCGAGCTGAAGGTCCAAGATGGAGAGGATTTCATGGATGGCATGACACCAGCATCACAGTCCAGAAGCCTCAGTCACCGCTCCAGGGTGGACACTCACAGAGTAATGGATAAAACTTCTTATTAATGTTATGGCCGATTTATGTTTGGAAAGGTCAAGGTCTAAATCTGACTCCTGTATTTTCTTATAAAGGTCACTCTTAATTCATCAAGTGCAGCTGGATATTTGCCTATGACCCCAGGTTTTGACAACCCAGGACAGGTAGATAAAACCTGTGGTGTTCAGCCACATTAACTGTGTTTTTGTACTGAATGTACCCTTAATGCTCCCAGCTGAGCAAAAGTCAGAATATAATATAAATTACTATTTTAAAGATATTTTACTGCACATCCTGTTACTAATACAGATCGGTTTGTGTTGTTCGGTACAGGCAATGTGGCAGTCACGCTCTCGTCTTAACTCAGCCCGCACTGTGTCCGAAAGCTCGGAGGGCTGCAGCACAGCAGTGGAGCTGGAGATGAGTGAGGACTTTCCTCTGGCAGGGAGCCTGAAAAGAAGACGCAATCGTGAGGACAGTGCTTACATGTCGCAAAGGGACAGTATGTCCGGGGATCCACAGGAGACTCCGTCCCCAGAAATTGAGGAAGAAGACCAGAATGGATATGTCCTTCCTGGAGACAGCCCCGAAAGAGGTGATAGCATCATTCATTATAGCATCATAGTATGTGACCCTAACAATGGGCAACAATCCCAGAAGTCCGGCTACTTAGTTCCCGAACACCATTTTATAAAAGGATTACAAATCCTCCACCTTTTTCAGGTTTTTGTCTTTCCATTGCTCATAACAAATACACTGTTCTGAGATCACTAGACTGAGCACGAGTTAAAATACCATCTGTTTTACATCCAAATGGCAGTTTTTTGCTTAAAGGTACAGTGTGTAGAATTTTGTGTAGAATCTAGTGTTAAAATAGGATGTTAGAGCTGAACACCCCAAACCTCACCCTCTCCTTCCAAAAGTGAAAAAGAACCATAGTCTTCAGTTGTTATGAAAACTCAAAAGGTGTTTAATTTGTTCAGTCTGGATTAATGTAAAAAACATGGCAGCCTCCGTAGAGAGGGTCCCCTCCATGTAAATATAAAGTATTTAGATATAAAGGGAAAACTACAATTCATACAATTTAGATGAAAGGAACTAGTGAAAACATCATGAGGATTATTCTACATTGAATTTCTACCAATAGTTCCCTTTCACTTAAAAATCTTACACACTGGAGCTTTAAAGGAATACAGTTTTTCAACATTTTGAGAAATGCATTTGTTTGCTTTCTTGATGAGAATTAGATGAAAAGATTAACACTGCATCCGCATGTCTGTACAGTTCAAATGAGGCATCCACTGGTTAGCTTTGTTTAGTTTGGCAGACGACCAGAAACAGGGCAGATTTTTAAGATTATCTGTTCCCAAGGAATTGCAAAAAGATAAGAAGAAAAACAACCCCTCAAATTATTCACTTTTCTTCTTTTCTTTTTTAGATAATCTACTTTCTTCATCTCGAGCCACTTCTGGCAGGATGGGCAAGTCTCATTCATCAGGCCTCTTAGATGACCCAGACGATGAGGAATATGAGTATATGAACAAGCAGACGCCTGTCTTACAAAGGCAAAATAGCCACTGGCTGAAACCAAACAAGAAACGAACTTCCTCCGTATCATCACAAGCGACAGCGTGCTCAAGTGAAACCACACTTTCTCTGGAAGTCAGGGGAGCTCACACGAGGAGCAAGGACAACTCTGAATCAGAGCAGCAGGGTTCTAACAAGGTTCAGTATGAATACATGGACATCAGAGGTAGTGACAGAGAGGAGAGCCGTCCAGCACATGAACCTCCTCCTCCTCCAATACCAACGAGGCTTGGGGGGAAGGTGGAGGATGAAGAGGAGAAAGAAGAAGAGGAAGAGGAGGAGGATGAATACCTGGAGGACAGTAACTATCATTACACCAACAGACAGCCAAAGCTGCGGCAGGCTCTTAATGACAGGAAGGAGCTGCAGGAGAGGGAAAACGGCGAGGCGTATGAATACGAGGACATGGACTGCTTCGCTGCCCTGCAGCCTGGAGATGTAGTAGTGTACCAGAATGTGCAGAGGGAAGGGGATGGAGCAGTGGGCGGCACAGAGGGGAATCGATCTGAGTTTGAGCCTTATGTAAAGGTGCGAGCTGGAGTCATGCCTGGGGAACCTGCAGCCGGCGACAGATCTTTTGACAATCCTGATTACTGGCACAGTAGAATCTTCCTGAAGCCCAAAGCAGTGCCATCATGAGGAACATTTTAAATGCCATCAACTTCCCTCTGAGATGTATTCATGAAGGACCTGAAACAGGAAATGCAATCAGAAGCCATGTTCACACTGTCACCTCAAACACCATTTAAAAAACCCAGCACATGTGGCTTTATTGTCTGTTACTGTATACATTCTATGTTGTATGTAGGCCTTTGATTTGGGGGCATTTCCAGAAGTGATGTAATAGCACTGATTGTTGAAACAAAAATGAACAGATTACAAGCTATATTTCTCTGTTTACATTTGGAAATGAACAAAGTATGTTTTTTAAGAGCAAATGTTGATTTCATTTTCCTGTGTTATAAGACCTCTGTGTGTGATTATATGTGAATTTTCTAGTCAATAAAAATACTTTTCTGTACTGAAATTTGAAGCAATAACTTTGTGTTTTTGCATTTCCCAGTGCAGCACGATCATGTGTGTTATGTGTGAAATGTGCATTGATGGTAGATGGGTTTGAATCATGTTTTGGTCATGGTGTAAATTCACAATGTTGTATCTTTTTCCAGAGTTTTCAGTCATACCTCATGACTTTCATCGGGACATGGACCAAATTCCATGTATGGATACAGAAAACTTTAAAAGGATCCTGTCAAATGGCCTAAAAAAAGTCTATTTAGTGGTGTTGCATCATGGGCTTAAACTGCTCTCTGTGGACTCAGTATACCAATGTACCACATTATATTTGTCCTAGCAACAGATAACACACACAAACAACAATGTTAGAACCTGAATGAAACCGGTTGTTTGTCACACTAGAGAACTTTATGGTAATTTAATGGCACGTAAAAATATCTGAGTATCTACCTTGTAAATTCCCAACCAGGCTTGATGTATACCTCTTTGCATCTGGATCATCATCTGGATCATGCTTGTTGACTTTATTAATTCTCTTAACTCTGCTTCAGATTGTTTGCTCAACAGGAGGATTATGAATTTGTGGCTTATTACTCATATACGCTATTACTCTCGCAAGCGCAATTGCAGCGGATCTCTAAATGGCCGGTATGCACAGGAGAGCCAGGAGCAAGATATGTACACACAGACAATTTTTACAAATTATGTCTCTCTGAATTAGTTTTAAATATGTTTATATTTGATTTGTCTCTTTTTTATGGTCATCACCAATTTTGTAGTAATTTTGAGCCTGTGCTTTTAAAATTGATTTATGGTGTAAATCCTAATTTTCAATCTGCATTTTTGTCATTTTGTATCTCTTGGCGGCATCATGCTTGTCTATGGTCAGTTTAATTTGTGTTGCTGTCATTTATTGTCATTTTGAGGATTTGTCTTTGCAGTTTGCATTTTCCTCCAAGAAATGTCAGATCAGAGGGCTGCACGTGAGAGGGTTCAAATCCTGGCTTAGCTGGACTCTTTCTCTGTGGAGTTTGTGTGTTCTCCAAATGTCCCCAGATTTTTCGTTGGGTTCACATGCTTCCTCCCACAGTCCAAATACATGCAGGTTGGGTTTTGGTTCATTTGAGAATTTAAATTGTCCAGAAGTGTGAATGTCAGTGTGCATGGCTGTTTGAGTCTGTTAGATTTGTGATACACTGGCAACCTGTTCAAGGTGTCCCTCAGCTGACATTCGCATGGATGGATCCATGGATGGATGGATGCATGGATGGATGGATGGATGGATGCATGGATGGATGCATGGATGGATGGATGGATGGATAGATGGATGGATAGACATCTAGGTTCTGTCCCTCTACCCATTCAGTAATTCTGCCATAATAACATTTAACAATGTGGGACAATTGTTTTAAGATCATTTTGAAAAAATAAACAAAGTACAATGACTTGATGGCCCCGGACACACCAGGTCCCAGTGTATCAGAGACATATTCCTTTAGGATACACTTCTTATAACCCTCCATGATCACGCAGCATGTCCACATTTTGGCGGGTCTGGTTCGTCGTGACGGGAGCAGAGTGTGGTGGGCGGGGCCTGTGTGGCAGCAGGAGGCCCGTGTTAGCAGCAGCGGGCAGAGGTGAGCCGAGCACCCGGGACACAGCTGCTGAGGAGCTGACGGAACCTCCGCTGCAAACATGTCCGACGACGAGCAAGAGCAGACCATAGCCGAGGACCTGGTGGTCACCAAGTACAAGATGGGGGGTGACATCGCCAACCGTAAGTCACCGTGAACCAGCAGCTTGTTGGGGACTGGAACAGATGACCTGTTATTCTCGGCCTGCGGTGCAGCAGCTAACGCCAGCTCCTCTTCTTCCTCCTCTTCTTCCTCCTCCTCCTCCGCAGTAGCAGCCGCCGCCATGTGGTTTATATGCGAGAAGCACATATGCTGCTGTAACTAGCTTGCTAGCAGGTGCAGCTGATTCTGCTTTAGTTCACGCGAGCTCCTCTGTTAGCTGCTTAGCCGCGACGTTCAGGTTTCACGTGAGGAGGGTTTGGAATGCTAACTAAGAAGCTAGCACAGTCTGTGACCCAGTACAGTTACCTGTGGAGATTAGCAGTCAGTAGATGTGGAGTCCGATCCGAAGCCTCCTCTGTGTTGTTGTACTTTCTCTGACTCGCACGTCATGACATGTCAGTTTGTCCAAAAGTCCTAAACTGACAGATCACTGACATGTCTGCTACAGACAGAATGTGTGGAGTACTTGTATGGATGCAACCTTAATCAGGAGACAGTGTTTTGATTCCCTCTGTCCATTTGTTGAACCAGAGGTTTGACATTTCTTGGATTTTTCTCTAAAATGAATTTTGGTGAAAATATGTCATTCACTGGTAGTGAAGGAATAACTTTGTAGTTTCAGGTTCAGGAGTGATAGATATGGATGAGCCCCAATTCAGTACACTGAACACACGAACAAATCAATATCCACCATTACTTAGGTGCCAAAATGGTATACACATCGAATATTTTGATATTATATGAATACATTTTTATTTGGTACATTGCCTGCTGATATATTAGAGATGTTTTGATACCACTTTTCCCTTCCTCGATAACGATACCAGGACTTTGTGGATCAGCCGCTACCAAGTACCCATCAAGTACCTGTGCATTTAAAAGAATAACAACTTCTACAGTGTATTTTATCTGCTGTATGCTACTAGCCCTCTATAGAGGTGACGACTGTTATCATTTTTGTATGACCTGGCTCAGTTTAAATCCTTTTCAAACAAGATTGCTAGTGTTGCAATTGCCAGCACTAGTGCAGCCCTTCATAATTGAAGTCTAGTGTGTGTTACCTGTCACTGTTTTACTGGTGGGACTTTCCAGCATTACATTTTTGCCAAACATTTGGACAGGAGAAGAAAAAGAAGAAGTTATTCCCAGTTTTATCCGGCTTAAACTAATATACCATAAAGATATGGTATCATAGATTTGCGCACTCACCAATGCCAGCCCCGGCATTCTCAGTATCTGAGGCATTTCCAATTCGTGTCCAACAGCTTCCAATCTATATTGTCCATTACCACATCAATGTAACCACCTGCTCTTCTTTGTTCTGCTGTTCGTCTCACCTAGAGGCTCTGCGTCTGGTCGTGGAAGCAGCCACGCCTGGGGTGTCTGTTCTCAGCCTCTGTGAGAAGGGGGACGCATACATCATGGCTGAGACCGGAAAGGTCTTCAAGAAGGAGAAGGATATGAAGAAAGGTGAGTCAAGTTTGTCTGAGCTGAGGTGGACCCATCAAGGAGAGCATAGATGCAGTCACACAAATCATTGCTTGAGTGTTTGTGTGTGATTTCACAGTTTTTAGTAACTTTAAATAAAAGTATTTTATTTTTTTAAGTATGACAGTGTAACATTATGTGATTCAAGTGTCACTCCCTCCTTGTTTAGATTTCTTGATAAACGTGTGGATGATTTCCAAATGAAGACTTGGTGGTTCTCTCTTCCCTCTTCTAGGCATTGCCTTTCCCACCAGCGTCTCAGTCAATAACTGTGTTTGCCACTTCTCTCCCCTGAAGAGTGACTCTGACTACACACTTAAAGATGGGGATCTGGTCAAAATGTAGGCACCACGCTCTGCAACAATGTCACCCCCCCTCCCTCCCTAGTGTGTCTTGAGTCCCCCAGTATTTTCTCCTCCCTTCTCTCTGTGATGTGGTATCTCAGGTTTTGTCTCTGTTTCATCAGTAAAGCTAAGTTCACACTACATGACTTGCTGTCTTCTGTTCAGGAGTCTTGCAGTTGTTGTGAGTTCATACTACACAACTGACCACTGTCGGGGGTCACACACTACACTATCTTTCACCAGGAGAAACCTCCCACTAGTATGTCTGGTCTCCAAACTATGTTTGATCACGCAAGCACACATGAGAAATGACGTGTTGAATCTGACTGCTCCTCTGTGTCATCCTGCTCGTAGAATGACACAGTAAGTTGGAGGAGGTGAAATAGTTCAATAGTCATCACATTTGTAAAGAATAGAGAGCGACTCATGCTGCACTTTTCTGTCCCAACCCGATAGTCTGTAACACAAATGGTTATTGATCGATTTCCGCCAATTACAGACATGTGACGGGTAAAAAATCAGTTGGCACCCTGCCACTATGCATGACCTGTACCTTCACCACCATAACCCCGTCCTGTGCTCTGATTGTCTGAAATTGTAGCAGACTACGTCTTCTGTGATTCCTCTCCCCTGTTGTTCACACATACCGTTTACGTTGCTTTTGTCAACGAGTTGCAAAACTCAAAACCGTGTTGTGTGAACTTTGCTTAATGGCTTGTCTTTCTGTCTGTCCTGTGTGGCAAACGACAAATAAGATGTTTTAAGGTGGTCATCCATCTGCAATATCCAATTTATCAGATGTTTCTAATTCAGTGCTGTGCTTTGAAAAAGAAAGTCAGCTCATCTCAGTTGTTGTATTGCCACCAATGTCTTTGTCCTCTGTAATGTCGTCTGTGCTACATGTAGATTTGAAGTGTTTTTAAAGGTGTGTGTTATGTGTCATGGGGATGTGGTTTTCTCACTTTTCATATCCTAACTGTCTGTTCATCTTGCTGTTGTCTGTAGTACTGCTCCCTTGAATTCACAATAAGTCCTTCACTGTGTTCCAGCTGATGTACAGCCAAAAAGAAATTCACCTTGAATTATATCTGCAGTTGATGGCCATAACGATTTATGTTGATTTATTTTTGTCTGACCTCTTATTGTTCAGTTTTATATTAGTTCAATTTCCCAAAGTGGAACATAGTAGATTTTTTTGTCCATCCCAAGTTGATTTGTTTGGCCCCTACATCAACATAATTTGGACAGCTGGGTCGGAGTTAAAAGAGGAATACATTTGACACATGATCATTTTCCTTTTGATTTATCGTTACTTCATACTCTCTCCTCTTTCTGTCTAATTTTATGTAGAGATCTCGGGGTTCACGTTGATGGCTTCATTGCCAATGTAGCTCACAGCTTTGTTGTGGGAGCCAGTAAGGTAAGTTTCTTCTTTTTTTTTTCTTTTTCTTTTTCTTTTTTTTTTAAATACCTGTGATGCGTTGTGTCTTCTTGGTTGAGCTCACCCTCATGTCCCCCTCACTGTTTTATTTCTGCAGGAAAACCCCATCACAGGACGTAAAGCCGACGTAATCAAAGCGGCTCATCTGTGTGCAGAAGCAGCTCTGCGCCTCGTTAAACCTGGTAACCAGGTACATTTAACCACCTAGTCACAGTCTATTCCAGCGCAAACTTAACTAGAATGGCACTCAGTAGAACACATACCTCTATAAGGCTGAGCAATCCTGCACATGATTATCTAGTTCTTGCTCTAAAAGAAAAAAGAAATTGGTTGATAAAGGGTTTATTTGTAATAAAAGGCAGTTAAAGGGAGCTGGGGAATGAATCCTTCCCTTAATCTTCATCCACAAAATTTTTTTATGGATTTCTCCTCGCCCCTTCCTCCACCAAGTTTATTAGAAATCTGTGTGGTAGTTTTTGCAGACATGGGTGAAAACACAACCCTCTTTGGTGGAAGTAATAAGGAGTTACCTTCTCTACAATGGCTTTTAATGGGTCTAAAACTCAGGTAGTGTGTTTTAGTTCGTGAAATTGTCTTTCAGCAGGTTTTTCCGTCTGCAGATCCTCCAATGCTCTGCTCCTCTTTCCACTTCTCTGAGGCCACCATGTAGAAAAATAGATGATTTTATTGGCTATGGTTTCAAATGCAAGCCAGAATGAGTCTTTCTTCAGTTTCCTAAGTTTGCTCTTGGGTTTTTGTATTTTTATTGGTCAGTTAAAACTGTGTTTTGCTTGTTAAAATAATGATGTTTTTGTTCTCTGTCAGAACTCTCAAGTGACAGAAGCCTGGAACAAGATCGCTCAGTCATTCAAATGCTCACCTATTGAGGGTGAGTAAATGTCTGTCTTCCTCTTTATGGCTTGTTGTGAGTGTTTACATTTGAAGTGAGTTTTTTCCCTAATGTTTCTTCTTGAATCTCAACAGATTTGTTCACTTAATAGGAAGATGAATGATGACTGTAACACTATACAGGTATGTCTGTGAACTTTCCCTAATTTTGATGTTATTTTTTTCTGCCTGCCTCGTTTTTTAAAGGTATGCTGTCTCATCAGCTGAAACAACATGTCATCGATGGAGAGAAGACCATAATCCAAAATCCATCAGACCAGCAAAGGTACATTTAGTCACTTTTTAGTCAAGGAAGAGAAATCTAAAGCGTTCTGTGGGGGTAACGGATTGTAATAAATGCTAAGACTCAGTTTATAATATTAATTGTTTTAATTGACAAGTAGTGCTGTTAATGAATTTTCAGGAAGGACCACGAGAAGGCAGAGTTTGAGGTACATGAAGTTTTTGCTGTTGACGTTTTGATCAGCACTGGAGAAGGGAAGGTGAGTGTCCCCTTGTTTCTTTTTACCTGTAGCTGTCAAAGTGCATATTTCCTGTGTAGCTAAAAAGTTCTTTAGTATAAAGAACCGACATTTATTGTTTTTAATGTCTTGTTATTTACATCCAGGCCAGAGATGGAGGTCTGAGGACCACCATTTACAAGAGGGACCCCAGTAAGCAGTACGGCTTGAAGATGAAAACCTCCCGTACGTTTTTCAGTGAAGTGGAACGGCGCTTTGATGCCATGCCCTTCACTCTTCGGTACGAACGCCACACTAATATAAGTCATTTTCAGACTTGTCCTGCAGATAAAGTCTGGAGAATTGGGTCCAGTTTGCCTCTCACACATGCAAAACGTAGCGGGAGGTTCTCTGCACAGACGTGTTCACAACAGAAACTATTTCTCTGTATATTTCAGGCGAGGGAGGGTGCAGCAGACGGAGGCAGGAAGTAACGCAATCATTCTGCTGCAGGATCACCTGATTTTGTTTACAACACATCAACACCAGTGTCAGCTCTTATCACCACAAACTCACTTGACATCTTCGTCAGTGTCCTGTTCGTGTATGGCTCCGCCTTTTACCCAGAGATATTTTTCATTTATGTATTTATTTTTCAATTTTTGCATCGGTCGCGTGTTAGAAGTGTCATCAAACTCACTCGCGGTGAATCCAGCGGGGGGTCCCCTGTGTTCTCACATCAGATTCTGCAGACTTTCTGGTGACTTTATACCACGGGGTAAAGAAAGTCTGCAGATAATCCGGAGGCTCTCACTCTGACATTTGTGTTCACACATTCAATCCCTCTGGAGAAAGTGTGGAGAATCACCAGAGATCAGTGCATGTCTGAAAGCAGCTATTCATAATTCACCCCCTGCTGAAGTTTTATGTAGATTAACAACAGGTGGAATATTTTGGCTTCAAGCTCTTAGTTAATGCCACCATACATTTTCCATCAGGGCATTTGAGGATGAGGCCAAAGCCCGTCTGGGTGTGGTGGAGTGTGCCAAACATGAGTTGTTACAGCCCTTCAGTGTACTGCAGGAGAAAGAAGGTGAGCGTTTTGTAACCACACCTTCCATTTTGAACTTGTTTGTCGTCACTTTTTGTTCACCACCTCTCTTTCTGCCTCTTTGTTCTCAGGAGAATTTGTAGCCCAGTTTAAATTCACAGTGCTGCTCATGGCCAACGGGCCTCACAGAATCACCAACGGACCCTTCGATCCAGAGTTCTACAAATCAGAGCATGAAGTTCAGGATCCAGAGCTGAGGGTAAGACGGTGAATGACAGCTCTCCATGCAGCTCCTTCATCACAAACAGAAAGCAAAACATTTTATTCTGAAATGTCTCTTCTCTTTTCTATAGACTTTATTACAGAGCTCTGCAAGCCGTAAAACACAGAAGAAAAAGAAAAAGAAGGTGAGTTGTTATTTGAATCAATGTTGGAGTGATCCAGAGCTCACAGGCTTCAAGTGCGTACCATGAATAAAACTAGACTTTGAAATATCTACCTGTTCTACCTTTTACCCACATTACCTCAATTTATTAATCTGTTTCTGACCTTTTTCACATCTCGCAGGCTTCAAAGACGGCAGAAAATGCAACTGGTCAGCCAGGCGAGGACACCGAAGCAGCAGGATGAATTGTAATAATTAAACACTGCCTTTCCACACATGCAAGACTACACAGAAGAGCAAGAGAAGACACGACAAACTCCCCCACACTGTCTGCCAGTCATTCCCCCTAGTAGATTTAATGACACAAATGAAACTGAAGATCTTGTGTCACCCTTTGCTGCATTAAAAAAAAAGATGCATTCTCCTCTAATTTCAACAGGAATTAAAGACCATTTGAAACTAATTTTGAATTTTTGAAAACACATGTCACCAAATGGTAAATGTGTAAATGGTGCCTGGTTTTGTTAATTTAAATGCTGCATGTTGTTTTTCCTTTGGCAACAAGTTAAGACTTTTTTCATTTTTATGTGTTCAAACATTGACTTAAAATCATACTTGATTTCCTCAAGTTTAATTGGAGGTTAAAGAGGACTGTCACATAACTGGTGTGTGAATCAGTAAGGATGGTTTTGCTGAACAATGAGACCATGATCATTTAAAAACATTTCCATCTTTATTAAAAACTATATTTTTCTTGACCACACCATGCAGTAAAGGGTTGAATCATGAATTTGTCCCGATAATGAAATATCACCATTGAAAAGGAATGTAATATAAGTAGTTTTTTGCTCCAGAGTCAAATGTAATGAGGGTTTACATTTACTCTTTTATCATCATGACCTGACCACATGTTTTGATGAAACTACAATGTTTTAGTCACTAGATGTTTTTAAGGCAATAACCTGAGCAGAAGACCAGAATATTTAACTGTAAAAGAAAGAAAACACGGTTGTAATGATTTTGATTTAAGGGAACAATATGCTACGTTTACTGCCATTTCCCTTTAACTTTATGAAAAGGTGGAAACCTTCATGTTCTAGTTTTGAGAGACTTTTCTATTTGTGATACCCGTTTCTTGCTTTACGACATCATTCATGTTGTTAAAGCTGCGCTGGTCTGTGGGCGTCTTCAGTGGAGCTTGACCAGTGACAGATCATCTATGGTCAGAGTTTCATCTAAAGAAAAGCAACTGTGTTGAGTTGGATTTGCAAGTTCAACATGTCGAGAAAAGTAAAATTCTGCTTTGTTTGTTTGGTCAGTGGTTGATGGAACTTTACATCTTATGAAATAAAAACATTTTCATACAGTTGTTTGATTTCTGTGAAGATCTTTGTTGAAGTTTGAAATACTTGAACCAAAATATCAAGACTTCAACCTTTTTATGTTCAAACAAGGATTTAAGATTCAATTGTTCTAATAGAGAGGAGCTGGGATACAGCATCTGTAAGCTGTATATACAGAGGTGGTTATTCTATGATGTGATTAAATCTGTTACAAACCAAGTTTTTTGCATCAAGTGGTGAAGTAACTCATGTCTGGGCATTATTGAAATTTACCATATACATGATGTACAATAGCAACTTCAATAACATACCATGCTGGAGCATCTTTCTCCATAACACACTCCGAAGTCTGATTCATTTTGTTTTAGTTTATATCGAGCCAGTGTCCTATGATCAACTAGAGAAAGACAATGTTTTTTCAGCTCATCATCACTGGGCAGGTGTGCCTTGATAAGAGTTTTTCCAAATAGTGATGATTTGCTTTCAGTTTTTTTCTTTAAATAAGATCATATGGTGGTTTTAGACGTGACACACAAAGGAAACAGTCTATTTAACTGCAGGATAATTAACTTGTTTTTGTCAAAGGTTCCAATACTGTGACTCAGTGTTTTGCACAAGTTGCATAAACATAAACCTTACATAACATTAAACAAGGTGTAATTGCTAAAAGAATATTACAATTACATTTGAGCAGTTCTAAGTGACTATTACATTACATGTACTTTATTCAGGGTACTTATACTGTAAGTATTTGTTTACTTCTACTGTACTCCTTTAGATGGAAATGTTCCTTTTACTGCATTATATTTGACAGCTATAGTTTCTGTACTTTTCCACCAGATATGTCACTGAACATAAACTAACTTATAGAATCAGTCTCAAAGGAGCTTTCACTACAGAACAAGAAGTTTTTACTTTCAAACATTCACATTTGTGTTTGACTTTACTGCAGTTAACTTTTAAAACAGGGTTTTTACTTATTTTTACATCGATATTAGTACTTTTACTATCATGCAAATGGATCATAATACTTTTTTTCCATTTTTCTTCAGGGAACATTTCAACACAGAACTTTTACTTCTAACAAAGTACTTTACGTCAGTTATACTGATGCTTTTTACTCCCATCACCACCTGACCCTTTGGACTACATTTCCCATGATTCAACTATGAGCAGATGACGTCAGGATCTGTATAAATACCGCCCTCTGTCTTCGTCACATCCTCTTTCCATTGCTCTTCTCGCTTCGAGGTACAGAGAAATATTTCGCCTCCGACAGAATCCAAACTAATCGTTGTGCTTTCTCAATCATCCGCAGTCATTAATAACCTTGTTGTGTTTCTCTTCACAGAATCTTCTCCACACGATGAGAGCTAAGGTAAGATGGAGTCTGTAGTTGGTTTGCTTCCTGTTCCCGCTGCAGTCAACGCTGCTAGCTAACCAGCTAACATCTCTGTGAACCCTCCTGCTGATAACTCTGTTTCTCTTTAGATGTCTCTGCTGCTCTGTCTGTCCTCCAGTGTTTAAACAGCACTATTTATCTTAGCTTCAGCAGCTAGCAGCACTGTACCATGTGCTGATTAATGCTAATGCTACCTGAAGGCCTTGTGTGCTGCACGCCGCGGTGTTTGCAGTGGTTCACCTCTGACCACATGCAGCTGCTTTTATCCTCCATGTTTTCTGGACATTTATCAAACAGGCCATTGTTACTGGTGTGAGATCAATGTGCTGCTTCTGTCTGTCCCAGTAACCATGCTGTCTGTCAGTGGGAGGGGACACATGGTTTACATCTAGATTCCACACTAATACATGTTCCTTTTTGTCTTCCAGTGGAGGAAGAAGCGTATGCGCAGGTGAGCATCGATAATCAACTAAACATTTGAAAAGCACGTGTACTCATGTTGAGCAACAATATCTTTTACTCATTCCCAGGGTCTTAAAAATTCTTATGCCAACATCTCATTTGTACATTTTAGCTGCTCTACTCATCTCATTATTTACCAGAACAATATAGCAGTAGACCGACTACAGCTGAGGTTTACAATGGTGGTACTCTAAAGATAATTGACAGAACTGCAGTCTGTGGGTACCACAATATTTTTTTGTAGTATTGAAGTAAAGTTTTAGTCCTGTGTGAAAACATTTGGTGATTAAAATTTACCTTGAAAGGCCATGGCAGTTGTGTTCCCTAAATATATAAAAATGTACACATGTGCTTTAAAGTCTGTCCTGACAAATGCAGGCAGGATGATATTCACACAAACATAACCAACAAGTTTTGTTAACTTGGCAAAAAGCAGGTATACATTTCTCTAGACATCAAACATCTGTCAACTTTGAGTCGAAGGTCCCAATCAATAAATCACAACTTGTAGTTGAAATAATTCAGTTGGGATTTAACCTACATTATCAGATTATAGTTTGTTCTGGATTGATGCTATTAACATCTGAAACATGTTGAAAGTATAATTCCCTGTGATCTGTCCTGATAATGTACTCCACAATAGACATCTACTAGGAAACTTTGTACATTGTCCTGATAGCTGCTTTTTCTTTTCAATAGGCTGAAGCGTAAAAGGAGAAAGATGAGGCAGAGGTCCAAGTAAGCCCTCATCGCTACAGCTGTGATCCCGTCCGAGCCTCTCCATACGACTGACACGCCTGGCAGAAGGACTGTGGAGCTGCCATCAGCGAAACAAAGGCCCTAACCTGTTTTCAGAAGACGACACAACTCGAGCCAGCAGTGGATGTCGGCCTGGAAGACGGCAAAGACGCTGGACCGATATTGCAACATCAGAACGGCAGCTGCTGTGTTCATGGACCATTATACATATTGTTTACCAACTGTCATGTGGTGTATTGAACAATAAATGAACACTGTTTAAAAGTTGACCCTGTTCCAGCCTGTTAACTTGATTATTACAATATCTGTTTCTTGTTTTGGTTGCACAACATGGAGGACAGTGTTAGCTGTAGCCCAGGTTTTCTTAGTGTCGGAATGTAAGTTACTACTAAACCTCACTAAGATTTAACTTGGATCATATTTGCTGGTGCAGAAATGACAAAATGCTATATTGAATCCTGGAAGCACTGATGTGTGTTAGACTGCATAAATCTCATCTAGCTATGCAGGTGAATAAGATGCATCTCCCTCTAATGGTGTAGAATTTTGCTGTGAAGCACAGCTCTGGACCACACAAGTGGTAGCACAGTTTGGATCAATAACCTATTGGACTGAGAAAGGATGACGTCACAGGCCCCACACTCAAATAATTGTAGCTTAGTCATTGATCAGATGTCCAAATAATCATATTATTCAAGATGTCCAAATTTAGGGCATATTCATGTGTTGTCTTAAAGCCAAATTAATAGAATAGATAGAAATACTTAAATCATTCCTGAGGGAAAATTCTTGTGTTGCAGCAGTACAGACATGCAGTAAGAACAAGTTAGGATCCCATGAGCACCCACACAAGCATTAGCTATTATTTCTGTGGTCCACGACAAACGCAGCATAAACAAACCGCTCATATCATTAATTAACTCAAGTACAGATGAGAAATTTGATGAAGCTTTTAGCTCAACCCTGAGCCATAGTCATCCATAGTTATGCTGCTATAGGCCTAGACTTCTGGGGGATCACTCATCAGGCACCAGAAACCAGCACCTTCTCTCTTCTTTCTCTGCCTTGTTTATTTTATTGTATTTTATTACATGTCTCTTATCCTTGGGTCTTCTCCTCCCCTCCTTGGTCCGTGCTGTGCGGGTCTCCGGAGCCCGTCCTGGCTCAGGTCCTGATGAGGGATGGACCTAGTGGAGGTCGCCGGTCTGTCGCAGGGCTGACATGGAGGGTCACGCAACCACCAGCACTCTCACCTGAGGACCTCTCACCTTTGGAGCCATGGGTCCACCTGCTGCGCATGTTGGACTATTAGGGAGGCAGGAGTGCCCGGGGAGCCAACGCACCCTTGGAAGACCATGCCAACGACCACATGGAGATTCCTGGGCTGGATTCAAGCCCGTGACCTGAGACTGTGACTCCACCCCCCCTCTCTATTTCCTTTTGTTCTCCTATGTTTTTTCTACACTCAGCCCAACCGGTCCTGGCAGAGGCCGTCCACTCCGAGCCTGGTTCTGCTGGAGGTTTCTTCCACCTGGGAGTTTTTCCTCCCGCTGTTGCTCATGCTTGCTCGATGTGGAACAAGTTGGATTTTTTAAGATCTTGGAATTTTGTGCAGCACCCTGTGACAACTGTTTTGTTGTGATACCATGCTATTTAAATACATTTGATTGATTGATTGATTGAAATAAGTCATTATTTAAACAGATGTTGGGTAAAGCACAAGATGTTAGTCTCTTCTCTCACTCTGAATTAAGCTTCTTGGTGATATAACCAAACGGTGAGGTACAGTAATACAGTCTTTGGTGCTAAAACACAGTGTTCATCAGAAAGCATTAACTTAAACTTGGACTGTGAAATAGCATATAACTTTTAGATGATTTTTGTTTTGTAAATCAATGTTTATTTTGAAAGAAATGCTTGAAAGCACCCAAACTTTGGTCATAGCCCAAACTGTTATATATTTTAACTTTCATGGTTTTTTTTAAACAATCCCATGTAATTATAACAAGCAACACATACATATGTTACCTAAGTAAATGTAATTAACTACTTTACTCAGTTTTGTTTGTCTTTACAGGTGGTTTATAACCTACATTTTAAATGCAGATATACATACATACATACATTGGATATATGTATAAAATAACGTTTGACTCACTTATTTGCTTGTCTGTTGTACCTCAGATATACTTGTTCTTGATCATATTATATCATTTGTGTTCATTCTTCTAAAGTTAGTCTCAGAGCTGTGACATCATGTTGTCTGCTGGAAGTGTTGAAACATTTATTTCTGTTTCATTCTTTTGGCGCAGGGGACTCTTACTAACCGAGAGGGGGCGCTGTGGAGCTCACTGAGGAGGCCGCAGCTCACTGAGGAGGCCGCAGAAGAAGACGAGTCTGTATTGTAAACACAGGGATATGGCTGACGAGAGGGCTGGAGGCGAAGACGACATCAACGACAACATGGGAAACCAGTTACAACTTTTACCAGGTGACGATTCAACTCCCAGAAGCTCCGCTCGTAGCTTCACCTGCAGAGAGCTGATCTGTTCCCCCGGCTAGCTAACATAGCATGGCTGCACAACAGGCCACTGTACAGACAACTCATCCTGACTTAACCACTGCTTTCGCTTTCCGTTCATTTAATAGCGTCACTTTCATTTGTTAAGCTGATGAAGCTGCCACTGTGGCGTTACTTAGGAGACACCCAGGGAGCTAACTAGCCTCTCTGATAGCATCTTTTGTCTTTGTGATATAACAGACAATGAGGAAGAGGAGGAGGAAGATGGCATGGAGACTGAAGACCGAGACAGTGAAGAGGCAGGAAAGCCCAACATCATCACCTTTGACCCCAGTCTTCCCACATCTCATGCTGTGAGTGACGCCACAGTTTCATGTGTCATGTCTTTTCTAAATATTCAATATCACACGTGTGCAACATCTATGGTGGCGCTGAAGTGCAAAACACAACAAAACACAACAGCAATTAAGAAAACACAGTGACAAATGTTAAAACACAATAGCAAATACAAAAACACGATGACAAATAAGAAACACAACAACACATAAGAGCACATGATGGCAAAAATGAACATGCTTTGTCACCATTTTACTTTCTCCATCCAGTCAGCGATGAGCTGGTACCTTGTCGTTAGAAGTTAATGCTGTTGTCTTTTTTATTAGCTGCGATTTGACATTGGGATATGTGATTTGTTGTGATTTGTGATCTGATGTCAGGATTTGTACTTCACCAAACACCTTCCAAGTGTTTTTATTAGCCTTCACAGAGCTGTGTTGTGTTGTGAGTCCTCAGCATCTGTTGTGGTCATGTTGTGTTGTGCTGACTCTGACCCCTGCCTGGACAGTATCTGGGTGCAGACATGGAGGAGTTTCATGGCCGCACAGTCCATGATGACGACAGCTGTCAGACCATCCCTGTGCTGCCACACACGGCTGTGATGCTGGTGCCAGGACAGACGCTTCCTCTTCAGCTCTTCAGGCCACAGGAGGTCAGCATGATGAGAAGCGTCATCCAGAAAGACCGCACATTTGCTGTCCTCGCACACAGGTACAAGTTTATGGAATTGACACTTGGTGAAGATTATTATTAGAATATTATTATTATTAATATTATTATAAGTCAGAGAGCTGTCGTCAGGGGTCAATGTGCTTTAGCTCAGAAATTGTCACATTTTAAACAGAACACCTTCATTAGAGCTTCAAAGCCTGGTCAATAGTAAATACCCACATCTGTCTAACTCCCCTCATACAGTGCAATGCTAAATATGGAGTACTCTCTAATTGTAATGGCATTGTTTTATGTCTATTCCTGCAGTGATGCAGGTGATCCAGATGCAGAGTTTGGGACGACAGCGGAAATCTATGCGTACCGCGAGGAGCAGGAGTACGGCATTGAAACAGTCAAAGTGAAAGCTGTGGGGAGGCAGAGATTCAAGGTCCATGAGATAAGAACTCAAGCAGATGGGTAAGTTGAATTGGCCCCATAAACCAGGACTCTTATGAAATGTCCCCCTCACTGAATAAAGACAAACACTGCCTAGGTTCTCACTATAGTCATCATGACTCCGAGCCATGCAGGTTTTCTGTCAGAGAGTTCTTTAAACAGGAATTTGGTGAATGGGATTATTTTCAATCGACCACCTGATAACATAGAAAGCCTGCAGTTCTCTGGACTACAAACGACACTGTATGTGTGATTTGTTCAGCCATTACGTGGAGCTCAGTGTAAAGACTGCACTTTGTTCAGAATAACTCAAAAATAGTGGTTCCCTGGTTCACCACTAGAGGCCACACAAACTCTGCATATCGTCTGAAAACAGTGAAGAAGTATCAGCCAGTCGCCACCTCTTGTATTTATTTGTGCAGCTCTTATTCACATTAACATGTTATTCAACATGCACTTTTGAGTTTTAGATCATATTTATAGTTTTGCCCTAAAGATGAGTTTATGTTTAGCCATAAAGAGCTAATTTTGCTGCTTATTCAATTGTTGTAGTCATACTATATATGCGTGGGTACATTCTCCAATGCTCAGGAAATTGTTCAATTTCATTTTCATTTTTTTTAAACTGAGTCCTCATTTCCATCTTTCTGTGGTTTTTATTATATAAATCACACAAATGGCTGGACATAATGCTGTTGACCTCTTATTGTCCTGCAAGTGACCTTAATAAGTGTAGATTTCAAGATAACAGTCAGTCAAATGGAAGCTGCTGTGGTGGCCTCTGTGTGCAGTGATATTTACTATATTCATGATATTGTTAATGTGACATGGCATTTTCACCGCCACACAAGATAAATGTAAAAATATGTATTATAAATATATTATATATATTATACCATGACACCATGTCCTCAATGTAAAGGGCAATTCTGCAGATGACTGCAGATTTATTTGAAAAAAGTCATGTTGCTAAAGATCCTTGAGAAGCAAATACACAAGCCAAGTTTATGTCTTTGAATTAAATTTTAACCGTAGTGTTTTGTTGTCCTTTAGTTTGACATTCGTAATAATGTTTTGAATGAAATACTGTTTGTTTTTAATATCAGACCATTGAACAAACGGTGCAGAAAGCTTCAGAGAGCTCACTGAGAACATCTCTGATGATGAGTTTGAAGGAAAACTTCTTCCTGCTGTGAAAATGTACATACCGCACCTTTTTACGATCACCTCACATTTACAAACATCCTGTCATACACCAGATCTCTTCCAGCCAGCAACCAGTTGTTAAATCCATTACTCATCTCC